CCCCCCCCCCCCCCCCCCCCCCCCCCCCCCCCCCCCCGCGACCCCACGCCATGACTGTACCGAGATTAATGGCACGCTTCAATAATTCTCCTTCCTCTTCCTTCTGTTCTCTTTCCATTGTTATAATATATCTCTCTCCTGTCTCTCTTCTATCTCCCTCCTATATATACGTGTGTTATGTATGAAGTTGTTAGACTCGGGATATGTGAAGAAGCGAATAAACATTATTGACGTGAGTGGCGATAAGCTACTCCACCTCTATCCAGTTTGTCATTACGTATCAGTCCCAAAAGGGTCTTATATTTCGTTACAAGGACGTTGGTATAAAGGTTATGTGGTGTGGTGGAAATCGCTTCTTCCGCTGATTATTCATGTTAATCTTTTGGAGCTACGGTGTGCATATTTCTGTTTCCAAGTATTTTTATTTCAATTCTAATGTACTTCCAAATAATTTGCAATACATAAAAATACATGGAAATGCACTGCCTCCTCCCCGGATATTGCTCATTACTTACTATGTAACAAATCGAATTGTAATTCTAGATTTGGATTTCGACTTAAATTCGTCTAGATTAGATTTGCACTTTACTTGAATCGTTTACTAAAATTCAGTTAACAACCAAGTAATATCTAGCAAAGTTCAATCGAATCGAGGTCGGATGCTATCATGCCCCATAGCATTTTACTCAATTGTTGCCAAATCCAGTATAATCCCTGTCAAATGTAGTGAAGTCTTCGACAAATACTCTTATATCTGAGAATTTGATTTGGCTTGGAATTGGATATGATGCATTCCTTATTAGCACACGGGTATTTACAACTGTGCCAAAAATATTCCTCTTAAAGATAAAAGGCCTGTCTATCTGTAGCAGTTATATAGCAGTCTGAAACCGATTTAGTATGAGCAGTCATCCTATTCCGCAACAAGGTCAAACCTGAGCACTGTCCGATTCTCGGAATTACACGGAATTCAGTCCAGTTCCGGAATTGCAACTTCTATTACTATTCTATCTTCTCTTATCCATGTAGTGATGATCCGATTCCGGTTCGGAATTCCTGGAATTAGATGGAATTGGTAGGCAGTGATTTCGGGAATTCCTGAGGGTGTGTTGGAAGTGATAAACGGAATTGGATCGGTGTGGGCGCGGATCCCTGTATGCGTACGGTTGTTCAAAAATCTACCACCGTCATACCCGTAAAGTCTCTCTCAGTCTGTGATAGTCTCTACTGACTCCATAGATCAAAATACAGACCGTGGCCGAAAGGCTGCATATATGATTACAGACAGTGGCAGAAAAACTACAACGACTCACAGACCGTGGTAGATAGCTTCCAGCAAAGAATCTCCATCATGTTTCACATTTTAATCACACAGGGATTGCGCTAACAGCTTTTTATTTCTGCTGTAGATAAGTACTTCCTGGATATTTTGATTTATTTTCGAATTAATTGTACGTACGGGTAGCGACTTGTCTTCAGTATTATTAACACGAAATCTGTTGTATTTGAAATGAAATAATAGTTTAATTCTCATGAGTCAATATTAAAAAAGCTAATTTAATACTCTGCAATTATCATTGAATTCAAATAAGCTTTTATTTAACATTATTCATTACCTCTGTCGGTGTCTTAGTATTAAATAGTGATACTTTAGTTCTTTTACTGCTTCAAAACTAATTAAAAAGTCATAAAATATTTTTACAACGCTTATTTGAAAACACAAAATTATTTCTTTCACTCTCATGTAAACTATTAAAAATAGTATCAGCTATTGCAGTTCTAGTATTAAGCCACCTCCCCTAATTTTTCTTTATCGGAGGTACTTCTAAATTCGACCTTGAATCAAATAGCTAATGCTTTTTTCAGTGAAATAAATTAATCAATTGTTATAACTTAATGAAAATCAGCTAGTGGGTAGGGTGTGGATGTGGTAGATTTTTGAACAACCGTATGCACACAGAGATCCATACCGACACCCACACCCACCCTTTCTAATAATTCACTCACGCACACCCAACAAAACTTTGAAATAAATAGCGTCTTGCTGTTACTATTGTTGGAGAAATTTTTTATTACCTACATCGATTGCCTACTTCTTCAAATGGTTTCATCTTCGCACCCTACGACTTGACAACGTTTTTTCTGTTCTGTTTCTGTGCACTTTGGCTATTTTTTATTCCATTCTTTTTAACATACTTAAAAATATGAATTTTATTGAAACGAATTGTCCATAGAAACACTAAAATATTCAGTAGACGAGCAGAAGACGAGCGATGGCAAAGCAAAAAATATTCTTAATTCTATAAAATTCATTTTTCTGTGATTTCAAGGTGGTTTCTGTAAAAATAGTCTATTCTCGATCGTTCAACTATTTATTATCAGTAAGCCAGGATTTGTTTTTTAAAAATATTTGACATCTAATTTATTCCGGTGGAATTATGGTCTTTTTCATCGAATATATTATGTAAACTACAAGAAATCAATAAAAAGATTTCTAATGAAATACAAGCAGCAATTTAATAATATCCTAATATTGTTTCGGTATTGACGGGAAACGGTGAAAATGAAAATATCGAAAAGAAAAATGTCGAATGAATGCAATAGAATAAATAGATATCCACGGTATACATATACTATTATATTTTCCCCAGTTATTGCCTATTACTTTACAGTTTCGGCTTCCGTATTTCTTTATCATCCACTTATCTTTTATTTGCAATAAGCTCTAAATATTCAGTCCGTTACAAATTATTGTCATTTTTTCACAACTCACTGAAACGTTCGCCCATGATTGATACAGCAGCGAAAGTCATGTCCTAAATTCTACTATCAACAACAGCTGCTGCTGTTTCAGTTTTAACATAAAACAAAGGAAAACAATTTTTGGTGTACGATAACTACGCATTTAGATGCCATCAAGCAATATTGTTCAAGAAATATTGGGTTTATAACTTATTTGTACATGCAAACACTACAGATGAAATTTTATCAGTGAATAGACGCCACAATTATGTTTCTGAAACTCATTTATTGGATGTAAAACAAGTGAATGGTAAAATGAAAGAATGTATCTTAACCGAAACAGCATTACTTACAAAAAGTCATGATGATGAAATCAAAGAAGCTTTTCTTTCAGATGAAGCAGCTGCATCTTCATCTATTATTGAACTTGTTATGTATTGGCTTTACAAAGCGATTATACATGAAATTCACGTTATTTTCTTGATATTATGATCGAACATGAGCAAAACTCGTCGAAAACCCACATCAATCATTCCTAAATTTCCTTGACTCACCCCATGTAATGAAAACCGCATGAAAATCGGCGGTTAACCGCGGTTTTACCGATCCGGTTACCGGCTCCCATTACCGCAGAACGGATAAATACCGCGGTAAACCGCCGGTTTTGATTAATTCCGCGGTTACCGCTAAAAAAAGCGGTTAACTGGTTCGTCTATAATCTTTGACAGAAAAAGTCTTCCAAATTATCAATTAAACTATTTTAATCATCCTTTTTTTACTTTTACATGTGATAAACATGAGCAAAAAACGCCGGTTTACCGCGGTTTTACCGGTCCGGTTACCGGCTCCCATTACCGCAGAACGGATAAATACCGTGGTTTACCGCAAAAAATGACCCGGTATTCGCAACATGGGTCATCTTGTATTTTAGCACTTACATCAACAGAAGTTATCTATGAAATCAAAACCCGACAAATCCTGATTGATAACTATTGAAAAAACCAGTGTTATACTATATTGAATGCTCTCAGCGTTTCTATAATATTCTCCATATTGCTAAAACGTGCCAGCAGTGGATCTGATTGTGGATCTCGTATGATTCTATTCTCATCCATATCCACATGCTCCCACACACTAACAGACACACTATGCACTTCCTAGTAGGAGGCTCCTACCCTCAACCATACCCATTTACATCCGCACTTTCAAATGATGTCATGATCAGTTAATTCGACAAACATTAGGATAAACTGGTAAGATTGTTATGCAAAATAAAAGCAACAAGTTGGAAAAAGCAACAAATTTATTCAAGGTCTGGTAATATTTCCAGTGTTTCTTTATTTTTGTTTCAAAGTCATTGGCTTATTTTTTAGAATGAATATAAACATTCGAGTTTAAAGGAAAAATTTTCAACTTTTGAAACAAATCATTTGTAGTTTATCGCCATTGTTCTATTATGTTGGACTTTGATTCAATCCCATTGTTTCCTCTGGCGTGGCTGCTCGTGCAGCTAAATCACTATAAACATAAATTAATTCCATAACATTAATAACAAGATACGATAATAAATTTTCCCATCTTACAAGAATACTAACTTTCGTGCACTCTATAATTTTCTTGTACTCAGCTTCAAATAGAACACCAAGGATAACACAATTGCTAAATGCCGTAAGCATTGCAATTGGTTTTAAATAATTGTATAGCAAATGTGTTGAACACAAACATTTCATATCATACCTTTTTTTAAAGACAATATAAAATAAAAATGAGTATGTACCAATTCCAATAATACTAAGTAAAACATGAAATATATTGGGAAATCTGAGGTGATCACTATTAAAATGACAATGATTTACTGCTTTAAAACAATAATAATTAGTAGTGTTTATATATGATCTGGTTGGCGTTTCAACAAAGTTATTGTACATATCAGTTTCTTGACCAGTCATGTGAATAATCTGACATACGAAAGAAAGGATTTCCATAACCAAAATAACAGCAATTAATTTCCAATCGGCTGCTTTCAATTTCCACGGATCAACCATTGTTATTAAATGATAATAGATCTATTCAATATAAAGTACATTATAGCATCTATACAGTACCTATCAGAAGAAGAAGAATACCCCGCCTTTCGGCTACCTTTCGGTGTAGGGTGCTGTCCGAGGATAGTTTCGAGAAGCCCGATATTTTCCCTACATCTATTACTAAATGTAGCTCTGGACAGAAGGCCGGCCTGACTCAGAGTTCTTCTCGCTTAATTTCTTAAGCTCCCCATACATACTGACTAA